GTAGAGCATGGGAAGCTGAAAAGTCCTTGACTAGTGTAAGCACTGCTCAGCAACAACTAAAACATCAGTGTGTTATCAACATTGTTCTCACCCTAAATCCAAAACACAGCACTGTACCAGCTACTAGGAAGGAAATTAACTCTATCCCTGCCGAAACCAGGACAATGCTAAAGTGTAATAATTTCCTTCTGAGACTTAAAATTATGTAGGGATGTTTTATGTAGGATTTCTATATATGCAGTATCCACCTGAAACAGTTTTGCCCCAGATAACAGTACCAGACCTCTTAACTTCCAAAGGTTTATGTGTTCTCTGCATTATTAAACACACACTGATGGGGCGGAAATAGGACAGAACGGTGACCTTCTTCCAGTGTTGTTGGTTATGGAATAGGAAGCTGTTGGAAAATGATTGCAACAGAGCTGAAAAGATAATCGGATGCAGTTCATTACTCATCTTGTCAGCTGCTCCTGCTACAAGGGATTGTATCACAAGATGTTAATCTGCTTGTGACTAGATTTCAAAGCAAGCATTTTTATTTTGGAGGGGGTGTAAGTAATTTAACATCTTTCAATTTTATTTCATTTTCAGAAGCAAGAGAAATGGAAAATTCCCAATTTAAAGTCTTAGAATATTAATTGATAAAAATATTAGTACATCCTTGTGAGTTCTGTTACAAAAATATGTTGATATGCTGCAAAAAGCTATTTAATTGCAGAAGTTGTTCTTTTTAAGCTAATGATGAGGTAGTGTATTGCCTGAATAGTGGAAGTTAGTCTGCTAGCACACTTCAGTGTGTTCTGCAAGACAACAAGTATAGACACAAGACAGATTTGCACCGAAAAGAATCCCTTCTACACATTGAATCACTAACATGGATGTACCTAGTGCTCCCATACATTGTCTACCAGTAAGGATATTTGGTGTAGGTGTAGAGGAGGACCAAATTCATTACTTACACTCTGCAGATGGGAAGATGACAAGAATGCAGTTTTAGCTAGATGACATTTTCTGAAAGTGAAAGGCCCAAAAGAGCAGTTACTTTCTGATACTGTGGGATGTTGCTCACAGTGCTATATGAAGTATAGGGGAAGGCTTATAAACTTTCCATTACAGTAAGATGAGCCAGCAGATTTGCTGTGTACATTTCAGGCAAGCAGTACTGCCCCTTCCTCTTCCACCCTCATCCTGCCTGTCTTCTTAAGTCCTTGAAGAAGTTGTCCAGTACAAGGAGAGGGACATTCCTTTAATTTCCTGCTACGCTGGAGAAACACACTCCTTTTGCTACCCTTTTTTGTGTCATTTTCTAGTATTGATTATTGTCAAATGGAATTGCATATTATATTTTAAATAGTTAAATTAAAATTTCCATTGTGACCTACAGGCACAGATGTAATCTCTATTAGAATACATTAAAAAATAAGCAGTGAGATACTTAAAAGTACTTAAAAAAATAATATATTGAGTTAATGTGTAAGCAAAAGAAATTACAGGTTTAAACAAAATAAATAATGGCACTTTTTACTCCAGCAGGATCATCTAATGCTAATGCCTTGCTGTATTCCAATTTTGGTAGCTACAGTCAACCCACTTAAATACCCCTTGGTGTATGCGTAGGCAACAGTATTCTCTAGTTCCTGCCACAAACTCTTACATGGTCTTTTGTGTGCTATTAATCAGCAGCTATATTTCACCTCCAGAGTGACAGCATCTCAACACTGGACAATGTGAAATACCATATCTTACATTATAGAAGCAACCAGTCATGACTCTGTAGGTTGTGTTTTTAGTTGGTCCAAAACCGGGCCATTTTTTCCCCTGAACATTTTTGACTGAGTAGTCAATCAGTATGAAATGTTATTTGAATTTTCCATGTAGCTTTTCCCCTCTGTTTCTCCTCATACATAATACAGTTGGTTAGCCGAGACATGAGCGCCTTCTTCACTACAAAATTCTGATACAGTTAATGAACACCATTTGCCCAGGTCAGAAGACACAAGCTAATGGACAGAGGCTTGACTGGTACAGCTGTGGCTACTATGCAGATGTTTACATGAGTACATATGTATGTATGTCTGACTTTATATTATATATGTGTTTATATAGGAACATGCAAAAGTTACATATTTTCACAAAAACATTAAATGTCATCACACGTATGTTACTGTTATTTGTCACCATGTTGAATCTGACAATTAAGATAGAAATGTCGATGTGGAAGGACTACGTACAAGTTTGTTTTCAAGACCCTTTAATTATTGCATCTTCTGCTGAGACTATGACAGAGGTGTAGATGCTGGTTACAGTAATGAAAAAAAAGTTGTTTGAAAGTGTTCTGTAAGTATTTTTCCACCTCCATTAGATTATTTAGAAATTGAATTGAGTTACAATGCTGAATAGGCAAACATTGTTCCAGGTTGGGATAGAGAATATGAAAGGTAATTAATTTACTCTATAGTTGATGTGGAAGGCCATTTGTTTTATAGTAATTTTCGTGTTTTAAATGTGAAACGAAGAACTGAGTAATTTCACATTTATGCTATAGTAATAAATTTACCCAAAACTCGAAGATATTTTATGCAGTGTACCTTCTGAATCATTGCCTAATATTATAATTTTACTTTGCCCATTTATGAAAATCAAGTACAATTTTATAGAAAATACAAACATAGCTATAAAATATGTTACTTCAGTTTCTAAATCCATCAGTGTCCTCAAGCAGTCAAAAATGAGATTCCATCATCCCAGTTTATTTTAGTATTCTATGTTAATTCTCATACATTTTACAAGTATGAGTCCAACAGCATAAAAGATGTTCTCTCTCAATTCTTAACACATGACCCATAAATTTTATCATTCTTTGAATATCTTTAGAGATAAGGGGTAGGGTTGGATGAATTCCTCGTCTAATCTCGGAATTTGTGAAAGCATTCTATCTGATAATCCCGTTTTATATCAATTCTTTAAGATGATAGTTTTGGAACTGAAACTTGAGCTTGAACTTGCAGTCTTTCAATGACCAGATCTTCAAGTGGGATACAGTGGTACCCTGTTAATGGATGACATTCTAAACACCTTCATTGCTTTGCATATTATTGCCAATGCAAGTGAATAGAGTGCGTTCTTTCTTCCTTTCACATCTTAAGTAGTAATTCAGTTTGGAGTAGCTGGACTTTTATACTTGATAGCTAATCCCCTCCTTTTTGTGGTGCTGGGAAGTGCAGAAGTTGAACTGACACTTTAAAAGGGCTTGTGTTATTAACAAGAACTAGGGTTGGTTGTTTGGGTTTTGGCTTTTTTTTTCATTTTTCTCATAGTGAAGTCACTGGCAGTGCCACAAGGAAGGCTGAGAAAATGCATCCCTCTTCGACAGCAATTTCAGCGTTGAGCCCTTTGCTTAAACCCGTCTTTAGCTGTGAATGTTGTGCTTTGATTTAAAACCTTGGATGTTTCAGAGTGAGTCAGGATAGAAAGAGCCAAGTGCCAGCACAGGATCCTTAGAATTGCTGACATTTGTTATCGCTGCTGGCTGTTTCACTTTTTCATTCTGAGCACTTTTTGCTGATTATCATTGCTATAGTGATTTGGTCAAACTGGTTAATTTATACAGTAGGGTCAATACATTGCGTGTATACCATGCAATGAAGAAAACCGTTCTGTCCAGAGTGAGCTTCCCCTTCCCATGAAAACACTGGGCAGCCTTCCAAGTATCTAACTACTGGGCAGGGCAGGATACCCATCGTCATGTCTTGTAATTTCTTCTACCTCAAACACACAGACAGGAAGAAAGCAAAAGAGAGAAAACAAAATAATGCTTTAATGCTTGAGCATAAGTGCGAGATGTTGGGGGGAGTAAGGAAACAGCCTGCTATTTCTTACATGTCCATTTTGCGAGACTACGCTACCTTGTTTTTCCACTTCGGACAGCAAGCCCTGTTGACACAAGGTGGTGAAGAGTCAGCTGTGAGGTTCACTGTATTTTCACATGTTCTATGTTTTTAGAAACAGGAAACTGTTCCGTGTGAAGCAGAGCAGCGTGCAATGGTTTTGGTCCCTGGTTGGTGTTTGCAAGCATGTTGTAATGACAGTAACAATAATTGCTGTGATGTAGTCAGCATGAGAACCCCCACGGAATGAGAAGGTCACCACAATGCAAAGAGATTTTCTAACACAGCTCCTGAGGTGTACACTCATGCCCCTAGAGAGCTGGGAGCATTTCTCTCAGACTTGAAGGAAAATATTCCATTTGAGGGAAGACTGAAGCTTTTATTTTTGTTTTCTCCAATATTTTTTTTCTACCTTTAAACTTGAGGAAAACTTCTCAGACTTCATTTACTTATTTTTTATTCTCAGTGATGGTAGAATAGCTTTGACTGGGAGCATTTGCATTGTTCAAGATTCTTTGAAAAGAGTATGGTTTGAAACTTGTATTTCTTTTGTCCCTTGCTATCAGGATGGCCAGTCTGATATTTTATACAAATTTTGGACTGCAGTAACTCAGACACTTTCCTCTCAGTTTCAGTCAGCAACAGACTGTAAGTATTCAGTATCAATTATTTGTAATGTGTTTTATAGTTATTTTGAATCTCTCATTTCAATAAACCCTTTGCTCATCATCTCCTCTACTAGAACTATAGCAGTGGTTCACTCAGTGTGGGGTCTGTGAATATAAAACTTCTTGGGTTTGTAACCAAAAAGGGTGATCCTCCTAAGCTATGGTTGAATTTTCAGAAAGAAATATTTTCTGCTTCATTAAGTAGTCATTATCTAATAACAAAAACTTATTTTTGCAACTGTGTGTGGAGGTAAAAATGTTTGGAATGGTACATTATACTTTCCAAAATGAATGGGTTTGCCAAATTCAAAAATAGTAATTTGATTTTAAAGAGCAGTTCTTACAGTCTTTTCTTGTTAAACACTGATTAGTTGTAAAAATCTGATTTTAGCCATTTTTTGGATACCTGCATAAATAGGGGTTGAGTTTCTTCAAAATTGTGTCTTGTCTAAATATAGATAAATGGCTGGTGTTCCGACTATACACAATATTCTGTACACATGTAATACATAAGTGGCAGATACAATCAAGGAATATTAAATAAAAGTCATGTATAAACATAAGATAGTACTATTACCAGTACATGCTAATGCAGCATGTAATTGGATCATAAGCCCAGGTGAGTTTGGTGCTTTCATAAATATATCTTTCATGTTTGTATACAGTATATAAAGTTAATCTTTTGCACATACAGATAAAGTGCATAAGATTTGAGTTTATCTTTGTGATCTCAGCTATTGCATTGGCCCTTCAACATTTGGTCCTTCCAGGCTTTATAGCAGCAACATAATTTTGAGGAACTAGCTGGTTGATTCATGTTCAGTGGTTGCTACGTAACTAGATGATCCCAAAAGAAAATGTATTCATCTTGTGTTAAAACATATTAATTTTACTGTTTGCCTTACGCATTACTTTAACAGCAGTATGTACATACCCAGAATCACTCATGTTCAAACTGAACATGTGCTACTTGTTTTCAGCACTCGGTTTCAAGATTGTAAAATTGTGACATCAGTTAATGGGATCAATCAACATTTCAGAAGTAAGGGAACTCTTACATTTTGTCAGCAGTACTTTGTCTGACAATATTAAAAAATATTTTATTACTTACGGTAAACATTTTTTTATATAAACGTTTAGAGGGAGCGGTTGGATTTTTGAACTGTGAATGATGTTTTTACTTTGCTACAGCTGAGTTTTGGGGAAATAATGCTTACAGAGAGTAGACTTTTTCATTTAAGTGATGCATCTATATGAGAATAATCATTTTTAACATATAAATTCTAAGTGATTGAATCCACTGACATCAGTCACAGACCTCTGGATCATATAGATCAGAGGAATACTAGACAATATCAGAAAAAGAGCGTAAAAATAGGAATTCATGGCAGTTTACAGAGTTTGATAATAGATCACGATCTGCTTTTGTGAGGTTGGGACAGTCTTTATAAATATAGCTTCGTGACCTAAAATAACTCTGTGTTTGATAATAAATGTGAATCCTCTGGTATTCAAAATTAGAATATATTTGAGTTGAAAGGATAGGCTGGGTGAAATGGAATGGTTCCAGGTGTCTGGAACCTGAAAAACCTACGAATGAATGGAACAGCGTTAATGTCCTAATGTAATGGGAAATCCATAAAGTATGAGTGATGTTAGATCAAGATTAACATAGTTGCTAAAACAGTTGTACATTTATTTCATTTCCTGTTACTTGTGGCAAGTCTTTCAAGGCTGAAAATAATGCTGATTTTCTGCTGGCTTTGTCATTATTTGACAAGTTTAGGAATTGCATTTTAAGGTACCTTGTTTTAAGAAGTGTGTGTAAAAGCATATGCTTCCCTCATCAAATTTCTAAGACTTTGGCTCATAGAAGTTATCTTTGTCTGTTTTAAACGGGTATCTTCAAAGTTGCACAGCCCCACACTTTTCCCCCATCAAGCTATTGTTCGAAAATCTCTAGATTTAGAGAGTTCTAATCACGCTTTGGACTTAAATGAAAGATAATAGTAATAATTAAGTTTGATACCAAACATTTCACGACCATGATTAGTATCTTTATTGTACAAAATAAGTTTTCCATGTCCAGCCTTCCAATTGTGGATTTTATGCTGGTGCTTTAGATATGTACCTTTGTCAACTGCGTTTAATGTGATAGCTCATGCCACTTTGAAATTAATTACAAATATTACATTATTAATATTAAAGATAGGATAACATTGTATATCATTCATTGATATAAATGCAAGGATACAGGTTGTTCATATGAATTAAATATAATTTTTGAAGTTAGCAATGCCTATTGCTTACTGCTTTATTTTGCAGCCTCTATGTTTTTGAAACAAGCTTTTGAAGGAGAATACCCTAAATTACTGAGGCTTTATAATGACTTGTGGAAGCGCCTGCAACAATATAGTCAAAATATTCAGAGGAATTTTAACACAAGTGGAACTACTGATCTCCTTGCTGAACTACAGCAAATGGAAGAAGATACACAGGACATATTCATGCAAAAAACCCAAGATTATGAGTATGTATTATGAACTCTAAGGCAATAAAATGTAAAGCTTTGCACCCTGCAAGAAAACAGAATATTTTTAAGAACTTAGTGTTATTCACATTGTCAGCGGGAAAATTTTAAAGGCTTTTTTTTCCTTTTGCAGGTATTGCTTTAATACTATTTTAGAGCTGTAGGATTTTCATCGGGTTATATAATGAACAGTGTTGGATTGTCTTGTCTTTCACAAAGTCCCTGACTTTGGAACTAGTTTTATCTTTTTGTCTCTTCGGGTGAAAAAAAAAAGCAGAATGATGAAAATTCAGTTTTGTGTGTGTTGCGATTACAGCAGTAGCTTTCTCTTAATGATACTGCAATCACTGGAGTGTGACAAATGCTCAGTTTGTTACGATTCACAGTTTTTATGTTTATACATTGTAGAATAAACATGATCTGAGTGGTGGATATCAGAAAGATCAAACTGAAATAGGCTCATCAAGTCTATTAGGACTTATAGAATCATAGAATCATAGAATCATTGAGGTTGGAAAAGACCTCTAAGATCATCGAGTCCAACCGTCAACCCAACACCACCATGCCCACTAAACCATGTCCCTAAGCGCCTCATCTACACGTCTTTTAAATACATGTGTAAGATAAAATGAATATTTTATGTGAGGTTTGCCTTGGCTTAAATATGTTCCTGAGACTTATAATTGACTTCAATGAAAGCAAAGTAAAGAGTTCACCAAACTTCTGACGATGAGGTAAAATGTTTGAGAGCTACTGCTTACTCATTTTCACAAATAGAAATACTAGACACTGAAGCTTATTAAAGGTAAATTTAAGAAGAGTCTGTCTATTTGAAGCTTTCTGTACGCATATGTATACCAGGAGATACTTTTTTTTTTAATGTATCATTGAGTACAAGCTGTCTGCTAATGAAATACGTGAATATAAAAAGGTCTTTCATTGCAGTTCTGCATAGCTTGCTGATATTTTGCAGGTGTTTTTGGCACTGTTTGTCTCAAAGAACACCTTGAATTAGGGATTCCACGTAGGTCTTACAGAAAGTGCTAAGAACTGTACTGAACTACACAGAATGGCTCCCTGACTAGTTACATGGTTCAGGTGAAAAGCAAGGTGTTATACACTATTCAGATCTTTTCAAGTGCATATGTTTAAAGAGCAGAAAGAAAAACGAGGTTCAATACTGCGAAGTTTGTATGGTCTGGAAAGATTCAATGCTATTGTGTATTTTCATTTAAAAGGTAGTAATTTTGTCTTACACCCACAGTCCAGAAAAGGCCTTGAAAGATTCACTGCAACAATATGAAGCTGCTTATTTGTCAAAATCTTTATCTCGACTCTTTGACCCCATCAATCTTGTCTTCCCTCCTGGAGGTCGGAATCCTCCTTCTTCTGACGAGCTTGACAGCATCATTAAAACTATAGCCAGGTATGCACGTATAATACATTGCAAAATGTAATCTTCAACATATTTTTTCTCATAAGTTACAATTCTAGAAATGAGACTTCCTTAGCAGTAAAAGGTTGATTACTCTTTAGTTATAAAACTGGTTAGTGTAAAAATTAAGTCAGGATTTACAATAGACTAGACTAGACTAGAATATTTCAGTTGGAAGGGACCTATAGCGATGTCATGTTTTAACCTCAGTTGGCAACTAAGCACCACACAGCCGCTCGCTCACTCCCCGCCCCCCTGGTGGGATGGGGGAGAGAATTGGAAAAGTAGAAGTGAGAAAACTCGTGGGTTGAGATAAAAACAGTTTAATAATTGAAATAAAATAAAATAAAATAATA